TTTAGGTTATGTTTTTACTGTTAAGAGTCAAATGTATCATATAATGTTTTTCTTTTATCTTGAGTTACAAAATAAAAAGCAGTTCTTTTATAGCCTTTAATTTAACCCATGTGATCTGCAAACTATACAACATAAATTTAAAATTTTTTATTTTTATTAAAAAAAATTATTATTAAATTATTTAAACTATTAAAATATATTATCATGTTTAAACCTTGGAAAGTTGAAACGGACAGGCAAGAATGGATATGATAAAAAGATTAATGTTATCCAATACTGTATAAAAGCCTTAGAACCAACACGAGACTAGCCAATTTGGTAATCTGGACAAGTTAAGAAAAAAGGCTTAAGCCCATAAAGCTTTTGGGCAAATACCCGAACAAAGGTTTTCTTACCAGCCCAATCATAACCCTGACCTTTTATGTTCATTTTAGGCCATTTCTCTGAGTTAATTCACCACCAAAGACAATGGGCAATGAGCTCTTGGAGGAAATTTGTTCCAGCCTTCTTGGGACGTTTCTAACTTTCTACAATTTTATTTCTTGTTTATGTGTTTAAGGTTGTCTCCAATTATTAAAAGTTTGAAAATTTTTAAACATAAAATTGAAAAAAAAAGAAAAGAAATTAAAAGAATAAAAGAACTATTTTTTATTATGTCCATTCTCTGATACATCCAAAAAATAAAAATAATAATAATAAACTAGTTTAAGTAGTTCACGGTCTAAGCCGAAGGGCTTGGATCTCTCCTACGCAGCATTTGGAAAAACAACCGTCCATTTTTTTTCCAGATAAATGGATTGGTAGTCTGGTGATTGTGTTACCATTCCATCTCAGTCCAATGTTTTTACCATAAAAAGAGAGAGAGAGAAAAGAAATACCAATTCATCACTCCTTCAAAACACACACATGAATCCTCTAACCCATTTTATACATAACAATACTTAATAACACATACCATAGTAATTATATTATTTTCATTCTATATATTCACTATAGAATATTCATTCCTTCCATCACAGATTCTTACTGAATTTTTTTTTTTTTTAAAAAAAAAGTGGCAATTAGTACATTGCATTTTTAGTATCTGTTCTGTGAAAGGGGGATCTCACAACCTGGGCCTTGAACTCTCAACCTCACTGGGGGGATGATTTCCACCAAGTCAAGTGGCAACCCACTTGATCCGGTGCGCAGAGATCCATTTTTGCTGATTTTATTGTCAAATTCTTCCTATCTTTTTCTAATTCAAGTTTCTTTCCTTTTCAATTCCGTTCTCTAACACAAAAAACGACATGACTAATCCAAAAAGACCAAGACACACCCTTTAAATCAAGCATCTTATTCACAATCCAAGGCCATTTCAGTCAAATGACACTTCCCCATAAATGTCAACCGATATTCATTCTCAGCCTACTTTACTAAGTTGTCCAAATAAGGATAAATATGCGTACGCATCTTTCATCACAGATTTTTTTTCCATTTGTATACGTTGCAATTCACTGTGTTCTCACCAAAATCCCATCACCGTTTACCCTTTTTATCTTCTGTTTTGCAAATAAAAGCAAATGTCACGCATTGCAATTTGCAACAGATTCATAATGGAGGGCTGCAGGTTCAAAATCTTGTCTCTATTCTCATTTCTGCTCCTGTTTCCTTGTGTTTATGGTTGGAGCAAGGATGGTCATCTCATAACCTGTAGAATTGCTCAGGTTTTTGAATTTGCAACTGTCTCACTCACCTCCCCTTTTCTTTTCTATGTACATAAATACCGTGTGGCAGTGTACTTATACATGATGTTTTTGTTTTGTCAGTCTCGGTTGAGCCAAACAGCAGCTGATGCTGTGCAGCAGCTGTTGCCAGAGTCAGCAGGTAATGACTTGGGGAGTGAGTGTTCATGGGCAGACAATGTCAGGTTTCGCTATCGCTGGTCGGCTCCCCTTCATTTCATCAATACCCCTGAGTTATGCTCCTATCAGTACAGCAGTAAGCTTCTTACTCAATCTCTTTTATGTTATGTTTCTGCCTTACCCCCTTTTGTGTGTTGTTAATCTAGGTTGGAGTTTCCTGTGGTATTATATATGGATTGGATCTCTTTGTGATTTCTGTTTTTAGGGGATTGCAAGGATCTAGATGGAGAAAAGGGGAGGTGTGTGGCTGCAGCCATTAAGAATTATACCACCCAGCTTTTAAGCTACAATACTGCTGCTTCTGCAACTGAATGTAAATCCTCCACAGCATCTCCTATCTTATATATCCTTGTATCATTGTATTTTCTCTCGATAATATTTCTGTTTGGCTGACTGGATTCTGTGTTTATGCCATGAATCAATGAATTATCAGATAACCTGACTGAAGCTCTTCTATTCCTTTCTCATTTTATGGGGGACATCCATCAGGTACTAATATTATACTCTCTAGTTCAAATTAAATGTAGAAAAACACTCTTTAACTACTGTCCATTGTAGCCTCTGCATGTGGGTTTTGCTTCAGACAAAGGCGGGAATACAATTGATGTCCATTGGTACACAAGGAAACAAGTTCTTCACCATGTAAGTGTGCATTTCAAAATACATCATTGTCTTTACATTAAACAGTTCAAAAAGATGGATTTTGTACTATTCTCAAACATATACAGGTTTGGGACTACAATATAATTGAGACAGCAGAAGAAAGGTTCTATGATTCGAATGTGGATGAACTGATTGATGCAATTCAACAAAACATCACGGTATGTTGCTGAAATAGATTTAGTCTTACCGTTTTCTTTTCCTCTGTCCATTCTAATGATTAGTGCTTGTCTTCATTGATGCTGAAAAAACAGTCTGAGTGGGCAGATCAGGTAAAAATTTGGGAAACTTGCAGCCAGAACCAGACAGCATGTCCAGACAAGTATGTTTCTTTGAAGGAAGCATGACTAGTTGCACTTAATTTCATTTTTTTTTTTCTTTTTCTGAATCAAAAGCTCCATTTTAATTCCCTTGGTGGTATGATGGGCAGATATGCTTCTGAAGGTATCAAAGCAGCATGTGACTGGGCATATAAAGGCGTTGATGAGGGATCAACCCTTGAAGGTAAGCTTGACAAAATGTTAACTCACTCATTCATCAAGAGAGGAGAAATGACAATAAGTTGCTTCTTGCAGATGATTATTTCCTCTCTCGTTTACCAATAGTTAGCTGGCGGTTAGCTCAAGGAGGAGTCAGATTGGCAGCCACTTTAAACCGTATTTTTGGATGAGAAAGTACATTATAGGACTATCAAGATGTACAAGTTATATAAAAAACATGGAGTTCAAATGTTATTCATATGAGAATTGGCACTAAGAATAGAAAGTAGTGATATTTACAAGGGATGGTATGGTAATAACATGTAATCTTCCATCCAAGATCAAATCAAGTCATCTTTCACTTTTAGCATTCACTGAATTAAACCAAACGGAAAGAGTTTACCTGTCACAATCTGTTTCTTAGACATTTTACATCTGAATCATATGAAAATCATGCCTCATCAAACGAAGATGCTTAGCTTGAATCCACACTGCTATGCTCTTCCTTATTTCGGTTTCTTCACTACCAGAACAGGGCACTTGGCATATTGAACACAATAGTTGCTCACACTCCATGTAACAGCTCTGCAAGAAAACATTCAGATTAGTTCCCATAGATATTACTAACCAAATCAAATGAATCAGAAAACAGTTAAGTGAAAAGGCAAAAGATAGCCCATACTTGAGGTTAGCAATTGCATGTTATCCCATACTAGAGGTTTCAGATGCATATATTTTTTGATGTTATGAATAGACAGCAAAAATGAACTTTTTTACCACGGTTCTGATTTGAAATTGAGATTCAAATTTTCCACGCTTACTAAACTACAATTTGCATCCTAAAATAGAAGCAGCATGGAAGGAAACTAACCTTCTGATTTTTCCTAGTTCATCCTCACCTACGACAAGCAGATTGACATTGAGCTTTTCAGCTACGCTACATATTGTCACTTTAGGATCCCCAACCTCTGTAATCATCTCTGCTACCACCTGCAACCAAAAAACAAAAAAAAGAACGCTATGATTAGTTTGTCTAGTCCTTCCGACCTTTCTAATCAACAGTATAAATATAAATAGCTGAAGGACCTAATGCTTAATACGGTAGAGCATACCCCTCTACTGGCACAAATATCCTTAGCTTTCTCCAAGAGGGCCAATGTGAGCTTCTGGTGCTGATCTTTAAAGGAGTTAACTAATGGAGCTGTCATTCAAATGTGAAGAATTAGTCAACAAAAGTTTCAAGATCTCTCACTCACAAAATTACTGATAAAAATGATCACAACCAAATATTTTTAAAAAATGCTAAAAAGAAGTTTAATAGAATCATTTCCATTTATCCCTACTCAATCAATCAGACCCCCGTAAAATTTCATGTTAATTGAAAAATTGCACACTGCTGCACACAAACACAAACAAAAAAAGATGGGAGAGGTAATGGAGGAAAGACATAACTGGTTGAGAAAGGACAATAGATCCGAGCATTGCTGAGAGCTGCAGAAAAGGTGTAATTGTCTGGTGGAACTGGCTGGGCCATGAAAATGATGAGCGGCGATTTAAGTGAGTCTTTGAGATTGTCAAGAACCCACATGAGTGCATAGTAACTGTGCTCACCCTCATCAATTGCCACCATCACTTTCTTCTCATCCCTTCTTTCTCCTACTGAGCCTGCCATTTTCAGGGTTTAAAGCCAACATACAGAGCAGCTGTGCAGCCGTGGATAAAGGGCAGATATTTTTATCCTTTGTAGATTAAAGAAAGTGTGTAAAGAAGGATCCTGTTAATGGAATTCTGTGGGAGCTAAAACTACTGCCTTCTAAACTGGTAGTTGGGGAACAGTAAGGGTGTTTTCTTAAGTTCCCATCTGTCAGTCAACTACAATCTGGGCTCCGAGTGGGACACAAAATCCTCCCAGGTTTTCTTGCGGCTACTGGTAGTTGAGATTAAAATATCTAATGTCCAGACAAAAAGGAACGATTTTTCTTATCTGGTACATCAGAATGTCTAGTTAGTGGTTGAGGGTCCCGAATGTGATTTCATAACATCTTGATATATTTTTGTTTTTCTTCAAGAATGTTCTGAGGCAATGGTTAATAAGATTTGGGCATGTGATTTGGAGTTTTGGGCTTTGATTCGAAATAAGATAGCGAAATTATCAAAAAGTGTAAATGTTAGTTCTCTGCAACTGCCAATTGTTGGGTTCTCTTTTGTATCAACTAGGCTTTCCATGGAAAAAACTTATAATCTCATTATCTTTGCATGCCATTGATCTTGAATTCATTGGTACTTAACAAATGTTGAAGACTTGAATTTTAACTAGATACTTAGCAAAATGGAACTATATTTTGCTTTAGTTGGAGTAGGTGAAAATCATATCATTGTAATTTATCTTTTCTTGTAAAATGATATGTACAAGATCTTTTGTTAAGTTGTTCACCTACCACTATCAATGTACAAAATATATATGCAATAAAAGGAGAAGACCGAAGTATGTATGGTCTTCATGTTCCCTCTTTATGTTTATTTTCTGGTTTTTCCTCTGTTTCTGCTCTCTGCTTGATTTTCACCTTCTGTTTCTTGCTTCTGAACTCCAACAAAGTGGTATCAGAGCAAGCATTCTTGAGGGACTTGTGAGAGAGTGAAACACGAGTGTATGTGAGGGAGTGTGCTGTGTAATTAACTATCACAGCTATGTCTTCTTCTTTAGGTCAGCATGGTGGTTCCCTGTCAAACCCTCCGTTGTTTACAGGGAAGAATTATGATGTTTGGGCCATCAAAATGAAGGCATTTCTTAAGGGAAATGATGTGTGGGATTCTGTGGAAAATGGTTTTAATCCACCTCGGTTGCCTCAGAACCCATCAGTAGCTCAAATAAAGCAACATGCAGAGTATGTAGCTGGTTCATACAAGGCTCTTTCATTCATCCATAGTGCTGTTGCAGATGAGATATTTCCCAGAATAATGAGGGCAGAAACGGCACAAGCAGCATGGGAAATACTCCAGAAGGAATTTGAGGGTGATGAAAGGATTAAAGGCCAGAAGATTGTGAATCTGAAGAAGGAGTTTGCAATGATGAGAATGAAGGAGACTGACACCATTCATCAGTACTCCAACAGGCTTATGGATGTTGTGAACCAAATAAGATTGCATGGTGAAGATTTTCCAGACCAAAGAGTTGTGGAAAAAATGATAGTGAGCCTTCCTGAGAAGTTTGAGCCAAAAATATCAGCTATAGAAGAGTCGTGTGATTTGAAGACTCTTACTGTTTATGAATTGATCGGCAAGTTGCAGGTTCATGAACAAAGGACTGCTTTTAGAATGGAAGACATGGCTGCTTGTGAAAGTGCTTTCCAAGCTTTGCCGAAGTGGAAGCCATTAACACCATCCTCTGAAAAGAAGCAGCAATATGGAAGAGCAGATAAAGGAAAAATGGTGGCTACACAGTATCAGCCATCTAAGAAAGATAAGTTTCCTCCATGTTCGATCTGCAAAAGAACTAATCATGATGGCAAGGATTGTTGGTACAAAGGGAAGCCACAAGTGCAATGTAGATTTTGTAGAAAATATGGTCACATTGAGAAATTTTGCAAATTTAAGGAAAATCAGTATAGACCAAAGCAGCAGCAAGCACAAGTAGCAAGCACAACTGAAGATCACTTGTTTATGGCTTCACTAGCTTCCGGTTCAGTTGACAAGTGCTTATGGTTTGTGGACAGCGGCTGTACTTGTCATATGGCAAATAATGAAGCAATTTTTTCTGAATTGGACAAGTCAGTGAGAATCAAAGTGAAGCTTGGAAATGGCTCAATAGTGCAATCAGAAGGCAACGGTATTGTGGCTGTTCAGACCAAGAAAGGTACAAAATATATTCATGATGTTCTCTTTATACCTTCCTTGAGTCAAAATCTGTTAAGTGTTGCACAGATGCTTAGGAAAGGTTATTCAGTTTCATTTGCCAACAATGCATGTTATATCTATGATTCTTGTGGTGTCAAACTTGCTAGAATCAAGATGGTAGAGAATAGCTTTCCTATTACGTGGAATTCTCCTTGCTTGCATGCTGTTTATGTATCAAAATCTGATGAAACTTCTTTATGGCACAAGAGATATGGTCACTTCAATTTGAAGTCTCTTAAGTTCCTTCAAACCAATGAACTTGTTAGAGACTTACCAGAAATTCATGTGAATGATGATGTATGTT